TTGGTTGCACTGGTTTTGTCCGATACTGTATGTGTATATATATATATATATATATATATATATATATATATATATATATATATATATATATATATATATATATATATATATATATATATAATATATATATATATATATATATATATATATATATATATATATATATATATATATATATATATATATATATATATATATATATATATATATATATATATATATATATATATATATATATATATATATATATATATATATATATAATATTTCATAAAAATAGATTCAGAATTCTACATGTCTTTTAAAGTCATTTAAATGTCATTAATGTATATATTTTAGATATCGGCGACGTGGAAGAAAATGTTGACGGCAATGCAGAAATATAGTTGCTTATGTATATTTTTGTGAAATAAAAATTAAGTAATTTTAGTTAAAATGTTTCTTTACTTATTTAATTTAATCCTTTTTTATGACTAATTTAACCGCTGTAACACCTTTGTATCAAACAAGTCCCAGCAAACAAAAAGATATCTAAAATGCATCTAATATGCATCTAAAAACTGGTCTAAAAGACGTCTAAATTCACGTCGTGAACGGAACATAAATAGATGTCTATCTTATAGATGTTTTTTAGATGCATTTTATTCGACACAAATAAATGCCTTAGATGCATAAAAGATGTGAAATATACATTTAAAAATTTATATTAGATGTATATTAGATGCATAAAAGAGCTATTATTAGCTAAAAAATTATCTATTATCTATCTTTTTTAAACGCGCCTTAGACATCTATTTAAGAGACGTATTTTATACATCTAATATGCATCTGTAAGATGTATATTTCACATCTTTTATGCATCTAAGGCAATTATTTGTGTCGAATAAAATGCATCCAAAAGACGTCTAAAAGATAGACGTCTATTTATGTCCCGTTCTAGACCTGAATTTAAACATCTTTTAGACCAGTTTTTAGATGCATATTAGATGCATTTTAGATATCTTTTTGTTTGCTGGGATAACAAACAGACATTTATAGTGTGGATCAAAAAAAAACTAATTGAAGTTGAATACTTAGACAATTAAAAATTAGACAAAATTATAACTATTACCACTTGTATAAAAAGAATAAATAAGAACAAAAGAACGTAAACTAATTATACTTGACTTTCGTCTCTGGTTCTCACACGTTTCTGGGGCTAAGAAACATTATCAGGTAGTTGATAAATTTTGTGATTTTGCTTTTCACTATTAAATTCCATATTCATATCACATTATGTTTACTTATAAGTTTCCTTATCAGTCTCAGATTCTATATTCAGGTCACTATATGCTTGCTCAATACAGCTATTCACTAAAGTTTAAACGAGGGTATAATTTTAAGAACAAATCTTTGGTTTTTCTTTAATAAAAATGTAACGGAAATAGATATCAAAATAATTTTTCTCCATTCGGTAACTAGGTTTTCTGATCAAAAATAAATAAAAAAAGTAGGTTTCGACTCATAAGTGATCTCTTGGGAATTTGATTAATAGATAGATGTGAGAAATTAATTGGTGTCATAAAAGTTTAAACGAGTTTATTAAAATTCAATTATTTATTAAGTAATTAAGTAATCCGTTGCGAAAATTACTTTAAAACATAAACATAAGTAGATTGAGTGGTTTTCAGTCAATAAAAGTCGTCACAACATTATTCAACAGCTTCATATTCAACGAAAATCAGCTGAAATCATTGCAAATTTCAAAGAATTTCAAATTGCGTGCAAATGGGGCAAAAACCAGTTTCAAATGAGATCAAATGGCAAATTATTGGTATGTCTAAGTCAAAAATTCACAGCAACGTTCAAATAGACAAAAAACTTGGGGTTTCTGAATCTTGCGTAGGAAAAACAGTCAAAACCTGGAAGCTTACCAAGGACTTCGTTGACAAGCCGCGTTCCGGGAGACCATCGAAGTTTTGTGACCGTGAAAAAAGTAGTATATTCAGAAGCTACAGAGAGAATCCTAGGCACAGCTACAAAAAGCTAGCATAAAATCTTCAACGAGTCGAAAAATAAACATAATGTAAGCAGAGAGCTCGTTAGGCGAACATTGCTGCAAAAAGGTATTGGAACATACATTGCAGCAAGAAAACCTATTTTATCAATCATGGACCAACGTAAACGGCGAATATGGTCAAAAAAAAGGACTGTTGAAGACTGGTTAACAGTTATTTGGAGTGATGAAGATAATTTTCAAGTTGTAAGCCGCAAGGGAAGACTATATGTCAAAAGATTTGCAACGGCGAAATATTCAGAACGGTTTTAGCAAACACGTCGACAAGGCGGTGGAGGTTCCATTGGTATTTGGGGATGTTTTTCTCACAAAGGTATCGGTATGTGTGAGCTGTACGAAGGCCGAATAAATCAGTACATCTACAAAAATACATTGGAAACGTGTTTAATTCCATCAATCAGACAGTTGTATGGTAGAAGCAAACAATTTATCTTTCAACAAGACGGGGCTCCAGCTCATACAGCTAAATCAATCAAAGAATATTTTTTGCAAAAAAAGATAAATGTGATCCCTTGGTGCCCTAGATCACCAGATCTCAACCCAATTGAAAATATTTGGCCTTGGATTGACAATCAACTTACTTATTACCAAATACAATCAACTGAGCACTTAAAGCAACTTTTGAATGAGTACTGGTTGAAGGTACCTTGAGAGATCTGCATGAAATTAGTTGAATCGATGCAGAAACGAGTTTACCTTTGCTATAAAAACAAAGGCGGACATTTTAAATATTAACTTGGCATTTTATTTCCATTTTTTATTTGTTTGTAAAATTTCGTTTAAACTTTTGTGCTACTCATTTTTCACATGTTTATTTTTGTAATTAAATTTTTTTAAATTTATATAAATCATTTCATAACAAGTTCACATTTATTCTAAACCAAATTACTTTTTATTTAACAAATAAAAAAAATAAGTCGACATCATTTTTATTTTTTTATTAAGAAAAAAATAAACCTACTTGATCAAAATTACACTATCGTTTAAACTTTCGTGAATAGCTGTAGATGCAATAATATCACCGAAGAAACTTTAGTTTTAAGGGATATTTTTGATGGATGGTAAAGGTAAAAATATTTTTTGAGCTAGTAAACCCTCAGATAAAGATAGCATTTATTTGTTAACATATCCTAATATACTTTCAGAATCAAAAGAGTTACCAATATTAATATTAATATCAATACTAATATTGATATTAATATTGATTTCCGTAATACATAATTATGACGATTATAGTGATATATTACTGTAATTCTTGGTTTTAAGGTGAGTTTCCACTCATCCGTTTTTCTACGGGATAGGGAAAAATAATCACGTGAGCATACGTAATAAAAGTTTTTATGTCTCCGCAAGGAAACTGCGCATGCTCACGTGATTATTTTTCCGTTCCCTTTCCCTTTCCCGTAGAAAAACGGGTGAGTGGAAAATCACCTTTACGGAATATCGAAAGGGATTGGGGAGAACTTTAGTTGTATATTTAAAACAGGAATAATATTTTAAATTGATAGTTTAAACTGTTTGTTAATTACATTGATAAATCAGTCTAAATATTTTTTAAAAAATAGCTAAAATTAGAACAGATCTATTAATGCTATTTAAAAACGGTTTTAACTATCAATTTAAGATATTATTCCTATGATATTATTCCTGTTTAACTTATATGTTTAAAGTCATACCCAATCCCTATAGATATTCTGTAAAATAGAAATATTTTGTTGGATTGCCATGCGGTTCATAAGTCATTTAGGAATAAATTTTATGACTTGCATTAGTTGTCGCAAAAAAGTTAACGAGGTTAAAACATAAAATACAGCGACGCACTACTTTTTGTTCGTTAAATTACAGCAACATATAAACCTTTTGTTTATAATAAAAATATTAAAAAGTTTTACAGGATATTCAAATTATGTGATATGTGAAATTTTTTATTTTATTTTAGGTCTGATAATGATCTACAAAGTGATTTGTAAAGATCATTTACAAAATTAGATTTTCAATTTGTGGTTTCGATTAATCTAGACCATAAATTGAACCTTTTATCTTTATTACTTATAAACGCAAAAATAATTGACTTCGGAGGAAAAATCTATTACAACACAATACAAAATCTAATAACCTAATGCAACACAATAAATTAATAAGTAACGCAATTGGTATGAAGTTAAGTATTCGAACACTATAGTTGAAATACCATTAGAAATTAAATAAATTATTTCATTAATTAAAGCTATAGAGTTGCGTTTTCGAAAAAATGTTTTTAGCGCAATCAAATAGATTAGCAACCATTGCCTTTAAAATTATATACTCTCTAGCCGTAAGAAACCTTTGAATATCCATTTATTAATAACATTCATTACTTGATTGATTCAATAATTAATTCTAGAAAGAAATATTCTTAGAAAAAATTACACGGAAAAATATCCCCCTTCTAAAAAAAAAAGTTTTTTAATATGAAAACAGCAATAATAAATATAAAATAATAAAATCCTTAAATGTAGCTTGCAATAAGAAAATGCTAAATAAAGTTAAACCTTACCCAAACCACTATTTTTTTTGTCATTATTAATGAGAAAGCCTGGCCATCCTAAAAAAATGTCGATGTATGAGCTCTTTATTGACTGTCCCAATTTAATCCATGTCTAGTTAAGTCAGTAAGATAAGACTGCACTTGATTTAAAATTGAATGATTTTTTTCTATTGATTTTGATGCGTTCTTTTAAAACAAGTATCAAAGTATTTAAAAAAACTACTTGATTTTTTTTTCTGGAGGATTTTTCCAAAGGGATTTTTTTAGAGGGTGGAGTTGGGAATTTTTTCTACCCAATAATTTGGCTTTAATACAGCTCAATACACGTCCATGTTTTGGTTTAAATTTATTTCTAATCTCAAAAGTTAAAGCTTCTGCATGCAACCAAGCGTGACATTATTGAGCTCCGCTTCTGCATTAATAAGGAGTAAATTTTTAGTTTTAATCTTTTCATATGTTGTTTGTGCCTTCTGAAATCAATTTTTTGATAAAAGAAAATGCAACGTGAAGTTTATTTGTTTGCAAAGATCTTTTAGTATTAAAAAATCAGCTTTAATTTTAGAGTATCATCAATGTTTATGAAAGACTTTCTTCTCGATGATTCTGAAAACCCATCTGATATGTCAATACAATGTGACAATGTTCCGAGTATTTCAAATATGCAGTGCCAAAACTGTGAAAAAAAAGTAAAGAAGAAAGAAGAAATTTCAAAAGGATCTTTAAATATTATAGTTAATATTGATAAGGATTTGCTACAATTGAAAGGATTTTTTTTACTATTTTTTGCTGGATTTGGTTCTACGCTTCCTTACTTAGGAGTTTATTTTATGCAGATTGGAATTAATCCTACTAAAGTTGGTATTCTAGCAGGAATTAGGCCAATTATACAGTTTATTAGTGGACCATTTTGGGCATTTTTAGCAGATAAATATAAAGCTCGGAAAGCTATACTTTTGTTTTCAATTCTTGCATGGTTGGTCATGACACTGTTACTAGCTTTTCCAAGACCACATAGAGAAGTTTGTAAAATAACGAACACCTCTTACAGTGAAGCAAAGATAAGGTTTGATCTACCTTCAAATTTTTCTCAACGTAAAGATTTTATCCCTGGAGTAAGCTTCCAAGGAAGGTTTGGTGAGTTACTATACACTAAAAATTGTATGAATTGTAAATCAAGCAAGTTTGTTACAACAAAAGACATCAATGAAAATTTTGTTTTTAATAATAAGATAAAAAATGCGGCATTATTTGAAAATGAACAACATTTTATAAATACAGAAATAAAAACGATTAATAAGAGACATTCAATAAAAAATTTAAGAGAGAAAACAGTTGAGCATATCGCTACGTATCGTCAGAAAAACTTTCAAATAAAGTATGTCATAGAAAGAGATAAATCAGAGATTAAAGATATATTTTATGTCTTATTAGTTTTAACAATTATTGGTGAGTTTTTAGAGGCTCCATCGTTTATTATGATAGATACAGCTCTGTTGGAACATTTGGGAGAAAACAAAAAACATTATGGCAAAACCCGACTATTTGGAAGCATTGGCTATGGATCGGCATCGTTTATAGTTGGAGCTGTTTTAAATAATTTTCAATACGAATTTTGTGGAAAAGCATTTACAAATTACATGGTGTTATTTTACTTGTTTTCAATATTTATGGGTATTGCGTTTGTTTTTGGTTTATCTTTTATAAAATTTCGATACGTTGATAGTAAAGAGGCAACACGACCATCAGACTGTGTAAAAATTTTTTTAACTTTGAAGTATGGATCGTTTTTAGCAATATGTTGGTTTTTCGGTTTGTGCCACGGTAGTATTATGAATTCTTTAAACTGGTATCTAGAAGATTTAGGTGCTTCTAAGCTAATGATGGATATAGCCACTGCTTGCAGATGTGCAGCTATTATTATAGGTTTTTTTTTGTCCGGCTACTTAATTGATAAATTTGGTCATATTAAACTTATTTGCTGGGCATTAGGCTCGTATGTAATTAGTTTTTTCTGTTACGCAAGTTTAAAAAAACCGTGGTGGGCTATACCTATCGAAGTAGCACAAGGATTAATATATGCTACATCATGGTCAACATGTATTACTTATCTTAGTGATGCAACTCCACAAAATACTGCTGCAACTATGCAAGGTGTTATTAATTTTTTTATTTAAATAAAAAAAAATTGTTACAATTTCTTTTTTTTTATATTATATTTGTATATGTATATATATATATATATATATATATATATATATATATATATATATATATATATATATATATATATATTCAACTTTAAACACTCTTTAAGAAATTTTTTCTAGATATATAAAAATATTGATCGGGCATTCATCATCAAATAATTAACAAAATTATATTACTCGTTTTCTTATGGTCATATTTAAAATAAGTATCAAATCTTATTTCACAAAGTGAAAAAGTTATTAGTTACTATATAACAAAGAAGTTTGTAGATTTATGTAATCAAACTTTATTATATAATAACTAAAAAGCATTTTTGCTTCATGAAATGAGCTATTTTATTTTAATATATAATTTGATATATTTTAATATATTTTATTTTAGGTGTTTTGCAAGCCGTTTATTGGGGTTTGGGCACAGGATCAGGTGCTATATTGGGAGGTAGCCTAATCAACCTCATAGGTGTTAGAAATACATTTATAGTTGAAGGTATAACAAGTCTAATAATATTTGCATTATATTGTTTGCTTCAAGTGACAATTTATCGAAAAGAAAAACGTAATAAAGAAAAAAAATAAATTATATTTTTTAATATGAATAGTAATTTTTGTTAACAAGTAAACCAATGAAAATATTTTAAAATTGTATTTTTTTATAGAAGCTTTATGACTTTACTAGAAGTGTGACCTTGTGGTGTCGCATCAGGGAAGGGAATATGGTGTTACTTTACTCCCTTTTTTATTATTAAAAAAACTCTTCTTTGTGTCTAATAATTTCAATAAATTCTTTTCGTGTCTTAAAATAAATTTAAAAGCGATATATAATGCAAATTTCATTTTTGAAAATTGTTGACATTAATTTTTCAATACAATTTAGAATTAAAGGTTAATTAAGAAAACTCTTTAGGATTAAAAATGTATTATTGTTTTATTGTTTTGTTTGTGTTTTTTTTATTTTTTTTTTATTATCTTAAACATTTTTGAGAATTTTTGATAATTTTTTCATCGAATAGTATTTTTTAATTTTTTATATATATGTGTTTTAGATTTTTTTTTATGCATGTCAAGTGTTAGTTTATTTAATTTTAGTTTCTGGTTTAATTAATTTTAGTTTCTGGTGAGCTTTGTTTTTAATGGCGTTGACACTGTTTTGACACATCAAAGCCGTAACCACAATAAGGGACGGGAGCCTTGCCCCCCCTTCCCTTTAAAAAAAAGTTAAACTATAATTATTAGGAATAAATATATATTTAAAATATTTTTAACATGTATATTTACATATATGCAAAAATGGCTGCTTGTCTTCGATGGGTCAATAATGATTTACAAGCACACGAAGAGTTATGCATCCATTACGAAATAAAACTTTCGAAGAATTTGTCCGTGTTCTCAAAGATATTCTCTTGAGGATGAATTTGAGATTAGAAGATGCGCGTGTTCAATGCTATGAAGAAGCTGTTAATATGTCTGTTCCTAAATCTGGAGTAGCAACAGAGATAAAGTTATTTAACAAAAAGTTACACGCAATGCTACGGCCACGCTATAAATTTGCCATCGGTAATGTCATCAAAAATATTCCAAGTCTTAACGAAACCTTTGGAACAACATATGATTTGTAATATATATATTTGCAAACTTATTAAAAAATTACCTAAAAAAAAATTCTAAACTAAATGCTATTAGGGAACTAACGGAAACAATTTAAAGTCTATCCATAAATTATGTCCAACAAGGTGGACAGTGCGTAGCGATATAGGAGAGTCATTGCAAGAGTTGAATAATACCGAAATTAAAGCTAGAATCCGAAGTGTGAAGTTTATAATGTCAACATTCGACTTTATCTTTTGTTGCTATTTAGGAGAATGCCTCTTGAAACAAACAGACTAAGTAAGGCGCTCCAAGTTCAAAGTATTTCGGCAGCGGAAGAGCAGAATTTAGCATCTCAAGTCGTTAATGTTCTAGAAAAATCCGGAAGCAGCGAAATTTACAAACTGTTTTGGGAATGTGTTATGACCCTAAACTCTCGAGAAAAAGGAAAATACCGGATAATTTTAAAACAACTCTTAACCTACAAAAAACTTACCATTTCCATGGTTTACCAAAAAAACATTATCGTCAATTGTATTTCAAGGCCTTCAATCTTATTATCAGTTTTATAAAAGAGAGGTATGATCAACCAGATTATAAGGTATATATTGATCTTCAGGAAGTTCTTCTCAAGTCAATAAACAAGGAAAGTTAGGGAAATCATCTGCAATCAGTTTGTCACTTTTACTGTCAAGACATGATCCAATCTTTAGCTAAAATACAAATTGCTCTTCTCCCAAGCATTGCAACATCATTAGGTTACGACATCAAAAAATTCACTATCAAAGATCTCATTTTGTTTTTTAAGAGTTTGGATCATTCTAAAAGAGCTTTACTTACCGAAGTTGTAAAGATTACCAAGCTAATCTTTGTCATGCCAGCTACTAATGCTCTTAGTGAAAGACCTTCCTCCGCTTTAAAAAGAGTTAAAAACTACCTTCTATTAACAACAACAGATTCCCGTGAACAACAACTTGCTTGTTCTTCATACTCACGTGGAAGCAGGGGTTAAAATTAATTTGGTTGAGATCGCAGATGAGTTTATTAATAAATGTCAAATTGGAATAAACATTTTCGGAAATTTAATTAGCGCTTTTGTTGAGATAAACAATGTATTACGCAAGTATTACATTTTTTAATTGTTTCATCAATTTGGAGTTTGATTATCATTAAATATACATTATGAATGAAAATCAAAGCTTTTCGTTAACCCTCCCTCCTTTAAAAGTACCATAGGCCCCCCGAATACTAAAATTGTGGCTACAGCTCTGGACATGGAGTTAGTTGAAAACATTTACATGCTCATACCTATGTCAAATGAAGATGCTTTGGAAAACATTTTTGGCCCTAATACTCCAAAAAGTAAATGTAACAAGTTTTTAAAATGTTTTTTTGTACTATTGTCTATTAAGTTCAAATTTATCAACTGATATCAAAATTCATTTAATGACCTCTAAGTGTTCAAAATTCATTCAATGATCTCTAAGTGTTCAAAAATGCAAAACAAAAGATGACTTAACATGACTTAATTTATATATATAATGACAAATTTTAATTTAATGACAGATTTTTGAACACGGACAAATTTTACACGGTCATAATTTTTGAACACTTAAAGGTTAACAAATGTAATTTAAAATATATTGATAAATATAAGTTTAATTAAGAGTAGTAAAAAATATTTGACAAATTTGTTGCTTTCACATTAATGGCAGGGGAATCAAAATTTTAGGGGTTTTGTGTATTCAGGCTTTAATCATTTCAATTTTTTGCAAAATGTTCTTGTTTGGCATAAACATGGACATATGAATGTTTTCTCCAGATATAGAAGTCAACATCTTTATCTAAAATGGTTTCGAAGCCCTGCTTTTAATCTAGCAATGAATTTAAATAAGGGGAATAAATAAAAATAATTGAGTTAACTGTTAAGATATGTTAAATTATTTTTTACAAATAACTTCAAACAACTTTCAGGCTTCAGGTGTGCGAGACATAATGCTGTGCAAAGCATGAAAACATGTGAACTAATATTCCTTCATTATTTGTAAGTTAGTGTTTTATGTTGTCCTAATCTAATGTTTGAACCATATTTAACATTTACAATAATTTCAATCACAGCTTGAAATTTAATAAAATAATAAAAAAAATTTTAATAGCAATAATACTAATAACAATTATAATAGTAATAATATTAACAATAACAATAAAACAATAACAATAATAATAATAGTAGTAATAAAATAATATAATAAAACAATTCATTTGTTTGATTTTTTTTTATATATCCAACTTGCAACTTATTTAAATAAATGCAACTGCATTCAACTGTTGGCATTAATTTTAAAAAAAGCATGGTAGGAGAACTTTGGCATTAATTTAAAAAAAAGCATGGTAGGAGAACTTTAGCAAGACAAAGTAGTCGATTATTCTTCTAATTAAATGTGAAATTTACTTCAGTGTTTGGATTTATTTAAGTTACACAGTTACATATTTTGGTTGATTTTTCAAAATTATCTGTGAAAATACAGATTCATTTAGAAGTATATTGAAAGTATATTGAAATTTACAGTAACATAAATATTAAAAAAGCAGTGGTAGAGTATGGTATTTTTGAAGATGTGTTTCCAACAATATCTTCATTACTGACAAATAAACAACAAATGAAAAACGTATTTTTATTTTTAATTGAGAAACATATGACACCTTGTTTTTTTAACTTGCCTATACTCTACAAAAGCTACTTGATTCTTTCTGTTATTTCTGCTAATGATGAGAGACTTTTCAGTTGACTGAAGACTATTAAAAATTATCGGTAATCAGCAATGATGAACAAACATCAAAAATCATCTGCGACAAACAATCGTTTTCCTGGATCGGCATTAATTTCAAATGAACGTGAGCTTGTTAAGAGCTTTGATTTTGAATTTTCATTAAGTTATTTTGCATCAGAAAAAATTTTGTATAAGCTATCAGGAAAGTAAATTTATAATTTATTTGATTAAATTTTTAAAATGTTTTTTATAAATACTGCGTAGTACCGGTATATACCGGCATTGAATTAATTTGAATTAAACTAATTGAAATTGGTACAATATTTTTCCGGTATTTTGAATACTCTACATTGGAAAGACCACCAAAAATAGAATAGTTTACTTACCAAAAACAGAACTGATTTAAAATACTTAGCAAACAACACCCAAAAATCTTATTTACTACCAGAGTATCGAGTTTTGTTAGCTTTCAAAATGAAATATATTTAAATTTTAAAGAAAAACCTGTTATATACACAGAAGGTTTAAAAAACAGAAGCATGTAGTCTTTAAGACTTTCTGTTAAGCCCAATGCTTGTTAAATTTTTTTATTTTGTTAAACCCAAAAAGTTGTTAACTATCTCACCAATATATAAAATCGATATGGTTATGTTTTGGCGCATTATTTTTTAGAAAAAAGAATTTTTTTAAAACTAAATGTGTTTTTCCGAGCAGATTACTAGACAGCTTTATTTTATTATAGATAAGTGTCACATCTTGCATAAAAATAGTTATAAATTTTTAATTGAAAATAATTTAAAAAACTCCGCGTTTTATAATCTATTGTTGATTTTTTAAACCTTTAAATAATTATTTCTTGAATTTTGATAATTTTATTCTCCAAGCATCAAAGCCCAGTTCAAAACACATACAACAAATTATTATTCTCAAAAGACTCTGGTACAAGCTACTTTTTTCAAACATATTAATGATGGAATCTATATGCATAATAGTTGTGTGGCCGTACTTTCGATATTGATTCACAGAGCAAATGTAAACTTTATCAGCAAGATTGTTCATGCAATTAAGTGCGTTTTAAGCACTTAGTGACAAATTCATAGTAACAAGACAATTTATATACAAAGTTGCAGGCAAAATTTTCACTACTCGAAGAGGTACTGGATTGCTATCATCTTCTATTTCCTCCTGATACCAAGCAGTTACATCAGCATTCATAAGTGCGGCAAACACATTTTTGTTGCGTACTAAATCAAGAGCATTTTCGTAAGATTCGACAGGAACTGCGATTGCACCATGTACATTTTTTGCAGCGTGATATTCAAAAGAACTTTAAACTACAGAAACTTCTTTTTCATAAATATCTAAATATTTTAAACTTGCTACTGCTTCTGTTAGAGTTGCAGTTAAAAAGCATCTATATGGAAGCAGTTATGCGTCCAATTATTGTCCTAGGCACAATGTCACCGAATCCAACTGTTGTCATAGATACCATTCTCCACCACATACCAGTAGTTGTTCCTTGAATAAAAAAGTAAGAAAAAAAATTATTTGATTTAGCTTCTGCTGCCCATATTGAAAATCCACAAACCACTGAAAGCATTAGAATGAGGATAAGAATTTGTTGGCAACTTTTAATTCCGAGAGATATTTTATAAGGTAAAGAATCATATCGCGACGAACTATAACTGCAAGTCCATCCGATTTAAAAAGCTGGAAAGAACGCAAACCTCTAGAAATCTCGTTACTTTTATTTATCAAGTTGGCGTCATCAGGGAACCAAATCGCTTTGTTTTGAAAGACTTTTTCGAGCTCATTTGTGCCATATTTTATTTTAGAAGTTAAAAGATCTAAATATCGATTTCGCGAGGGAAGAAGAACCGTAAAATTTAATAATTTTTTTTTGTAACAATAATAATCTCCTTATTTAAATATCATTGTAATTATACCACTTATTTTTCCATTAGCAGATTTAAAAAGAAAAGGCTTTACTTCCCAAAAAATTCCTTGAAGTTCTACTGCTGAGTTATTATATGTTGAGGATAGGCACATAATTAATACATTTACATACATTTTATTTCTTGCAAACAAAATCATTTATTGAACGATAGTTTAATCAAAACTTTGTTCGAATTTCCATATTTGTAGTTGCCGGTATTTATACATCACATTTATCACTGAGAAATTAAAAGAAGAAGCCAAACAGGTTTAGGATTAGTAAAGTATTTTTTAAAGATTTTTTTTATTAGCTTTTCGATCAATATTTGCTCACTGATAACAATATCAGATTGAGATCGTAACATGTGGTTTTTTATTTTGTTTTTGTGTTTAATTTTTTTTTTTTTTTTTTTTTTTGCGTTTTATTTATAACATTTTTTTTATACCTTATTTACAGGGTTAGGCGGAGATATAAATTAAACTATGCGGAAATATTAACTAACAAATGTGGAAATATTATTCAAAACAAGAAAATCAAAATAAGAAAACATAATTTAAAAAAGCTCTGTAAATCGTAAATAAAATTGTAGATTACAGGTTTTTGGAATTTGGTATTTTTAACTTTTTTCTTGTTTAGTTTTAACTGTTTTAATTTATATTTCCGCATATTTTGGTTTATATTTCCGCATAATTTAGTTCATACTTCCGCATAAATTATTATTTCCGCACAATATAAGTTTTTTGTTTTGCTTTTACTACATGATTTAAAATACAAATGTTTAAGATACAAATATAAAAGACAATAATTACAAGTGAAAAAGTTAAAAATAAACAAAAAGAATGCGGAGCTTTTGTCTAAGAAAACCGCTGTTAAAACATAGATTCTTTCGCTACAGTTTTTAGTCACTTGCTTAATGATGCTTGCAACGAAATTACATATATTTACATATATATAATTACTTATATTTCCGCATAACCCTGTAATTCTAAACTACGCAAATTATTTATCGAACTGACAGACATTTATTTCTCTCTACGCCCGTCATTAGAATCATTCTGTGGAATATTCGGAAATTTTGTGTTCCTATAAAAACATGCCGTTTGTTTTCATAAACAATACATCTACTCACTGATCTCAAAAAAATAACATTATTTTTTCGATATAATTTTGAGATCGTTATTATTTTGAGATCAGAGACATCTACTTATAGGTTTTTAGCAAAACTAATCTCATTTTAAAAAATTTGTATCTTTACTTGTTTTACCCATATACAAGAAAGTTTAAAATACTTATATAAAAATGATATTTTTCAAAACTTTTTATTGCTTATTTGTTTAATCGTCGCTCAATTTAAGGGGGTTGCCCAAGAAATAAACTTTTTTTTTGACCCTGTGAATTTAATTAACCAAATTTTGGTATATATGGCTGATCTCAACTTAAAAAGTATTTCAAACACATTAAAATATTTTTTTTGTCTCGATTACCCTATGTTATCGCTAAAATGAGACAAAAAAATGCAATATTTTAAAATACAATATCTGCAGATATCAAGATAGTTACTACTTCAAATTTTCAACATAGCTTCAGGATGATGGTAAAATCCATTTGACTTATCAGTTTTTTTATTGACTCTTTTAGTCAAAAGTTATGCCTTTTTTAGTAAAAAGAGTGTATATGTTTTAAACATGGTATTATTTGTATAAATTTTACAAAATAAGTAGTTATTTACCTCAATAAAGAAAAAGCCTATGATGTATGGATTATATATAATATATGAGAATTTCCTGAAAATTTCAACTTATTTCATCCATTCAATCTTGAGATATCATGTTTCAAAATTTTAAAAATTATTTAAAACCATAAACATGAGAAAATCAAGTTTTTGTCTAAAATAATAAGAATAAGTGTAAGATTCACACTTTACACTTCATTCTTTTTATCAATCTGCCTGTTTTGACTACTCTTTGTTTTTTAATAAATGAACTCGATCGCTTTTCCATTCTTTATGCAGCCATTTTTTCTGTAAGTACTTTAAGGCATTTTAATTTTTTATAATAAATGATAACTCAATACCATTACTGACACTATGCTTCTCTCACTGAAATTTTTAACTTATTTCAACAGCCTTTTTACTTACTTGATGATTAGAATGGGAATCTTTTTTCATATTTAAATTGAGCGAGCACTTTTCGCGCTGCAGGTTTTGATAAAGTACCTTGTCCGTGCTAAACATGAATATTTTTAAACATATTCATGTTTAGTACGGACAAGGTACTCTCTTGTCACGGTTAGTTTTGGAATGAAAATATGAATATTTTCATTGCAAAACTAACCGTGACAAGAGAGTATATTGATGAAACCTTAGCACCAATTAGAAATTGAAAAAAAGC